AGTGGCTGGGTTGTAAGTATGAAGATAGTAAAATAATTTGTGAAGAAGATTATTTTTTTTCTGGCCTTGCTGATCTGTGAAAGGACTCAAGATTTTGGCAGGATAGATAATGCTGCCTAGTTTGCTTATATCATGTTTCTGTTTTTCCAAAAAGCATGTAAATCCCTATAAAATCAAATACATGAATTTGTAGTTAACAGAGGAGAAATTGATTGCAACTGTTCAACAGTCAGGCCTAGGTGAGTGGAGCAACAGCAGCAGGGGAACAGGTTAAATGATCGATGCCATGGAAAGGAGGTAGAGCCTGAAGTTCTGAGGTGTTAGGGAAGAGAATTCTGAGATGGCCTGACTCTGGCCCCTGGAATAGGTGCCCGAGTGTGAGCAGGACTCCTGGGACTAGAGTACCTTATAGGACCAAGGAAAAGAAATTTTGCAAATGTAATTAAGGTCCCTAATCAGTTAACACTGTGTTATCCACAGGCCCTTGTTGGACATGACTGATCAGGAGACCCCCAAGGGGGGCAAGGCCCTCCCTGAAAGAAGAGATCTGAGGCTGAGGGCTCAGGAAAGAACTTGGGGCCTCATTTCTGCAGCCTCAAGGCATGAACTCTGCCAACCACCAGGGAGAGCCAGGAAGGGCATACTCACGCCAAATGCAGCCAGCCAACACACTGATCTCATACTAGTGACCCCCAAGCAGGTCACCCAGCTATGCTGTGCCCAGGGTTTTGACATAGACAGATGTGCAGTCATAAATGTATGGGGTTTTGTTTATTCTGTGGTGCTGGGGATGGGATCCAGGGCTTTGTGCAGGCTAGGCAAGCCCTCTATCACTGAGCTACACTCCCAGATCTATTTATTTTTAAGTATATCAACTCACAAAGTTGTGCACCCATCACCACAACTACTTCTATTATTCCCCAAACCCCATATCTTTAGCCATCACTTGAGCCCTACCCTTTCCCGTCCCTCCTCAGCCCTTGACAGCCACTGTCCACAGATTAGACTTTCTTGCTGTTATGGTTTGTGTTTAGCTGTCCCCTCCACCAAGCCTCATTCAGTCATAGCTAAAACGTCTCAGAGGTTACTGGAACTAGGATACGTTGTTGGAATTAAGGGTGTGATGCTGGGATTAAGGGAGTGTGATTGTATTTTTAGGATCAAACTTGGGACCTTGTCCTTGCCAGGTAGGTGCATATTTTTCCACGATGCCCCTCTGCTATGCCATCCTGTGTTGGAGCCAGCCCATTATGAACAGAAACCTTTACCAACTGTGGGCCAACATAACTCCTTTAACTTTAGGTGCTGGGTATTACAATGGTTGATTGATTGTGTCAATTTGAGAAGTTTAAATGTTAGCTAAATCAGCTCAGTAATTCTGCACCTTAGGATGTAGAAGACCCACCTTGGCAGGGCTCATGGCCTGGATGGCATAAAAGGATAATGACAAGGGATGGATGCTTCTGCTCTCCAGAGGAGCTCTAGTCTTCTCCTGAAGCCCGGGCATCATCTCCTGGCTTCCAGGGCAGATTCTTCAACTTCCTTCACAGATTCTTCAGCCTTCCATCGCAGACCCATCAACCTCTTTTTTTTTTTTTTTTTTTTTTGGTACTGGGAATTGAACTCAGGACCCTGAGCTTGCCAGGTAAGTGCTTATTCTACTGAGCTATCTTCCCAGGCTCCCCATCAGCCTCTTGATAAGGATTCACATAGGGCACTGCAGTGAGCTCCAGACCTTGGACTGAAACCTTTGGTCTCCAGCATGCAGACCCCCTCTGCACGCTTCTTCATCAGCTCTGCGGGTGGCCATTGTAAGCTGATCTTATAATTTCTTATTCATTTGCACAGCTTACGTTATATCTGTTTCTTACCTTTGATCTTAGCCAAAAGACTGAGAAGCGATGTAGCTCTGTTTCTCTAGCACAGCACTGATGCAGGTGTTTTGTCTCAGCAACAAGAAGAGTAACTAAGACACCTAGTCACTCCATGTAAGTGGACTCAGATACTATGTGGCCCGCCGTGAGAGACTCCTTTGCTTAGGGCAATGTTTTTGAGGATATGCCAATTGCTTTCTTTAAAATGGTGCTCTGAATGGCAGCCAGGGCCTTGCACATTCTAGGCCAGCGCTCGACCACTGAGCTTTATGCACAGCCCTTCTTATTTCGTTCTCACCAACGTGCCCAGGCTGACCGTGAACTTGCCTCCACCTTCCACGTAGCTGGGATTATAGGCATTTGCCACCACACCTAGATACTAATACTGCTATAGCTGTTTGCATACATGTCTGTTTGTTTAAGATAAGATCTCATTACATTGCCCAGGTTGGCAGTGACTCCTGGGTTCAAGTGATTCTCCTGCTTCAGCCTCCTGAGTGGACCTATTTTTGTGGATGCATCTTTTCAATTCTCTGGAATATTTACCAGAAGTGGAATTCTGGGTCACACGATAACTTTGTGTTTAACCTTTATCAGAACTTTCCTCAGTGGCTGTGACATTTCAAGTTCCACAACAATGCATGAGGGCTTTAGCTTCCTCACGTCTGTCACACTGGTGTGTTTGTGTTTGCTTGGTACTGGGGATCGAACTCTGGACCTTGCACTTTCCAGGTAGGAGCATATGCCATGGAGCTACCTCGCTGGCTCACACTTGCTGTTTTTCATTCTCGTCCTCCTACAGGGTGTAAAGTGGAGTTCATTGTGGCTTTGATTTGCGTGTCCCTGGTGGCGGGTAACATTAAGCATTTTTTCATGGGTATCATTTGTGTGTCTTTAGGGAGCTGTCTATTCAGATCTTCTGTCCATTTGGTTATTTGTGTTTTAATTGCTGAGTTGTAAGCTTTTCTTTTTTTCTTTTTTTTTTTTTTTTTTTGGGGGGCTGGAGAGATGGCTCAGTGGTCTGAAGCTTTTCTAATATGTTATAGATACAAATCCCATCAGGCTTGTATGACCATGATTTACACAATTTCCCCCAGGCTGCTTTTTCATTTCTGAATCATGTCTTTTTTTTTTTTTTTTTTTTAATAGGGAAGGGTCTACATGGTGTTCAGGATCTCACTACTGGCTCAGACTCAGTGATCTTCCTGTTTCCAGCCTCCCAAGAGCTGGGATTACCGGTGTTAGCCACCCGCCCAGTCTCAGTCACCCTCTCAGTGCATCCCAGGGGTGGGGCCGGCACGGCGGGCCTGGGGATCAAATCTCCAGCCCCTGTTCTTGCTTGCAGGCACTTTAATCCACTGAGCTATTTGGCCGGCCCTGAATTATGTCTTTTGAAGCAAAAAGTTTTTAACTTTGGGGAAGTCCAAATTATATATTTTTTCTTATAGTTGTGTTTTTGGTGTCATATTGTAAGAATTTGTTATTTTCTTTTTTTATGTATTTGGTGCAGGGTCTCACTACGCAGCTTGGACTCATAGTGATCCTCCTGTTTTCAGCCTTCCCAGCCCTGGGATTGCAGGCCAGTGCCACCAAGCCCAAATTCAGTCACTGGCTCAGTGCACCCAGGGGCGGGGCTGGCTCAGCATGCAGTACCAGGGATCGAACTCTGTTCCCTGAGCTTGCCTAAGCAGGTATTTAGTCCACTGAGCTATCTCGTGGGCCCTATTAAAATCAAATCTGCTCTAATGATGTTTGTAAATAGGATCTCAAGTCCGCATCTTGTACAGCAATTAACCACTAAGAAGAATATATGCAGTGTGTTAGTTATTGAAACTGTAGTACTGATTTGATTTGAAAAAAAAATAAAATAAAAAATAAAATAAAATCTGACGTTGTGATTTATCCTTGTGTTTTTCTTTGAAGCTGTCACACTTTTAGCTCTGCATTTAGTTCTTGGACTGGAGTGTGGATCTAGGATGTCCTCTGAAGGTGCCAGATTGGAGCCTTGGTCCCAGGGTGGTGCTGTCAGGAGGTAGTGGCATAGCAGGAGGGGCCTAGTGGGACATTTAGGCCACTGGGACCTTCGAAGGGGCTCCTTAGTCTCCTTCTGCTTCTCTCTTTGCCTTGCAGTTTGCGCAAGGTGAGGGGTTTTGTTCTAGCATGTGCTCTTGCCGTGTTCTGTCTAGCACTGGCCCAGTGCAATGGCGTCTGATGACAGTGGACTAGAACCTTTTAAGCCATCAGCCAAAGCCACCCCTTTTTCTTTCTGAGGTGTTTCTTTTTCTCCTTTTAATGTATTTGGTGTTATAGGGTCTCACCATGCAGCTCAGACTCGTAGTGATCCTCCTGCTTTCAGCCTCCCCATTGCTGGGATTACAGGTGTGCACCACCACTGCCCAGATTCCATGACCAGCTCAGCATGCCCAGGGGCAGGGCTGGAGTGGCGTGCAATGCCGAGGATCAGGCTGTGGTTCCTGTGCTTGCCTGAGCAGGCACTGCAGTCTGCTGAGCTATATCACTGGCCCTCTGAGGTGCTTCATCACAGCAGCAGAATGCTGGCCAATATGGTAATCAGTTTATTCTCATAGCCGAAGAGAAAACCCAAACTCCCCCAAAGCAATTAACTAGCATTCATTTTTATTTATTTATTCATTCATTTATTTATCTATTTATTTATTTATTTTTGCAGAACTGGGGATTAAACTCAGGCTCTTGCACTTGCCAGGCAAGCGCTTATTCTACTGAGCTATCTCCCCAGTCCCCATCATTCATTTCTAAGTGATCATAACTGTTGTCATAAAAGGAGACTTTGCTGGTTGTGGTGGCACATGCCTGTAACCACAGCACTTAGGAGGCTGAGGCAGGATCATCACATGAGTTTAAGGTCAGTTTGAGCCACATGGTAAAACCTTGTCTCAAAAACAACAAAAGAGAGACTTTGAGGCTGACACTTAAAAAGATTCCATGTCTCAGTTTTGGGTTGCAGTGGTAGGACAGTGAGGCAGGCCAGGACTGGGCAGCAAAGAGAAACTGCCCCATGGTAGGAGCTGACATCCTGCTGTGAAGTATCTCTGCTGACTGGGGTAAAAGAATCAGTATTGGCCTCTTTCCTTGGGACCCGCCAACATGGGCCACATTTGTACCAAGACAGTAAAGAAGGCAGCCTGCGTCATCATTGAGAAGTACTATACGCGCCTGGGAAACGATTTCCACGCCAACAAGCGCGTGTGTGAGGAAATCGCCATCATCGCCAGCAAGAAGCTCCACAACAAGATAGCAGGCTGTGTCACACATCGGATGAAGCGGATACACAGGGACCCTGTGCAGGGTATTGCCATCATGTTGCAGGAGGAGGAGAGAGAAAGGAGAGATAATTACATCTCAGCCTTGGACCAGGAAATCACTGAAGTAGATCCTGACACTAAAGAAATGCTGACGCTTTTGGACTTCGGCTGCCTCTCCAACCTGCAGGTCACACAGCCTACCATCGGGATGAATTTCTTTTCTTTTCTTTTTTTTTTTCTTCTCTCTCTAAAATTCATTTATTTTTAACATTCATTTAGTGGGGGGGGCAGCTCAGCCCACCAGGGGGCGGGGCCGGCTGGCATGTGGTGCTGGGGGATCGAACCGCGGTCCCTGTGCTTTATTAAGCCTGTTCCAAGCAGGTGCCCCAGACCACCGAGCCATCTCTCCAGCCCCCAGGATGAATTTCAAAACACCATGTGGAGCTGTTTGAATCTTTTTGCTATGCTGTAATGTCAATAAATTTGGGACAATGAAAAAAAAAAAAAAAGAATCAGTATTGGGCCTGGGGAAATAGCTCAGTAGAATAAGTGCTTGTCCGGCAAATGCAGGACCCCAAATTCAATCCCTGGTACAGTGAAGAAGAAGAAGCAGAAGCAGAAGCAGAAGCAGAAGCAGAAG